ATCTCTCCGATGCCCATTCCATCCTGCATCAATTAAGTCACATGTTTCTCTCTCCCATTCTCCGAAACACACCTACCTCAAATTGGGTGTTCCACAAGGTTAGTTTCATAAGAAAATACATGGGATTTTGCGCTCGGACCAATTTTGTTATTTACTGGTTAGAATTTTCCGCTGTACGTGCGGTGGCTTCTGATTGGTGTACTGAATGACGGTAAAAGTGGAGGAGTAGGGGTGTTCTGTAAAGGCGCTACTCCTACTTTACTGGTCGACGTTTCGGAAAACAATCCTTTTCCATTTTCAAAACCTGAAATTAACTTAAAAAACTTTCGTCTCGAGAAATGAATAGCTCTAATTCTTTTAACATACGTCAAATTCAGGTTTTCAAAACTGAAAAAGATTGTTTTCTGAAACGTCGACTACTAAAGAAAGCTGACTAATAAGACTTTTCAGTGGATTATATTACGTAGTAACTTATCGGGATGAACTTTTCAGATTGCCCTTTATTAGACTTCAGCAGATTTTCTATTGATTTAGCTTTGTTTATTTTTCAGAATGTGGAAGGTTATATACTTAAAAAAATATTGATTTCTGTACAAAAAAATGTGTTTCAACTAATAAAATAAGTTATATATTTATATCAACAATATATCCATTGGTAACCAAATAGTAGATTATATTTGTATTTGAAAAGTAGATATATCCTTTTTTGTGGAATAAAGAACATTATATTACATTGAATCAATTATTGTTATAGCATTTTTATGGACACTTTTTTTGGCAATTGCCTTTCTTTAGATAGAAATCTCGTAGATTTATCTGTCATGTCAACTATAATTGTCAAGACATTATATATAATCCAATTTTATATCGTGCATGATCATTTATTTCATCCTACGCGCCATACAATGTCTCAACGAATTGTTTGTGAGCTATTAAAGTATTCTCAACTGGTATATAAGTACTTTGAATACGATTTGATAGTTATAATAGTTCACAAGCGAAACTCCATAAGATGAATAGGAATCTGTCAGAAGTATAGTCAATTTGAAAATATTTGATGAACGCATCAATTTGTGAAAATGTCCAAAATAGCTGCAGGATGTTTACGCCAAACACAGAATTTAGCTCGGTAGGTAGAATTGGAACCTCTGACGTAAAATGATTAAAAAAACGCTTTTCCCACAATATAATGAAAGGACTGCCTCTCTTAAAAATTTTCAGTTCATAGTATCTATATGTGAAGTACTGAGCGTTGTTACGTCAATTACACATTATCGAATATCCGCCAATGAATGGCAAATATCTGACCCACACTGTAATGATCCACAAAATATACTGGAATTCCAAATGATAAAATTGACTGTAGACAGTGTGGACACCTTCATCTTGAACTCGTTCAGATAGAAATCGAATAGATTTATCTATATTTATCAATTGTTTAATCGAATGATCTAATACTTACAGATTGAAAATAATGAGGGTATTATAATTTTAATCAAAAGTTTATTCACAAGATGGAATGTTCAATCAATACGAGGGTTATTCAAAAACAATCGATGAAAAAACTCTCCAAAAAAATATAACAAATCTTTGATAATTTATATTTTCTTTAAAATTTTCAAATTATCAATTCAATGTTGATATTTTTCAATTGAACTTCGGATACGTTTCCCCCAAACTCTCTTTTTAACGTAATTATTTCCGTTAGAAAATGAATTTCTTGTTGACTGCACCGCAGGTGACTATTATAAATGACTTAACACATTTTTTTCAAAAATCCAGTTCTGAGATTGGTAGATTTAAGAACTTTAGTAGGGCTAAATAAAAAAATGAAATTGTACCAGACAGACAGGTTTAGGCTGATAACGTTGTTTTTTTAATACATTTCCTACGATATTATTTATCTCGTTTCTATTTGTGGATATCAAAGTAGTTATGACACAATCGTCACAATTTTATTTTCCATCGGACTATTTTCAGAGATAAAATTTCTCAATTCAAAAGGTATAGGTGGTATTCTCATGAGCAATTGGATTGAAACATACACTACTGTATTCACAATTTTAACGTTGATATATCGGGCGATTATTCTCACCCTCTTCAGGGCTACAATAAATACTATACTCCGGAGATGAATTTTATTTAGTATAAATAGCAAATTTTCGATCGTCAATCAAAAATAACAGTTGATTTTTGACAGATATATTAATCCGGATATATTCCTTTCTTGTTGAATTTTTTTCAATGTGAATGTGTAACAAGTTTGGTGAAAAAAGCATATTGCTTTAAGGCATTTTTTTAGATAGAGATTAATTGAACATAAACACGTTTTTTTGTTCACGAATCCAGCTCTATTGTACAAATTGTAGGATTGTGATTAATTTTCCTCTATATACCTTTCACAGTGGTGCAAAAATATGGGGAATGATATTATCTCACAGAAGAAGAGCGAAAGCAACATCAATATTTAAATTATATATTTAGCAGTTTAACCATAGAACTTAATCATGATCCTAAATCAAAATTTGTTTTGTGCTTTGCTATCTGGATCATTAAGTGCTTTGATACAAAACATTAAGATAGATGATGTTGAATCACAAATTCAAATGAGTATTATAAAAAAATTCTGAAAACCTTAAAATATTTCCTAGTTTCTGCTCTAAAACCCGAGTTCAAAAATTCACAACTCTCAGATTTATCCTGTTTCTATTCTAAAGTGGGAATACTGATATTCAAAATATTGAAAATTCGACGGAATATACTCATACCAAATTTTTTTTTGATTTTTGTTTTCATATTTGTTGCCCCTATCCGAATATTCTCGTACGCTATTGCAAAAAATCATATAGTCCACAAAACGACGAGCAGTTATTTTTCAGTCTCTCTTTTAACAACACATTCACAAAGCTGGATGCTCGCTGTGTAATTATTTCACTTTTATATATCCCTCTTCATCGGGTATAATGAAAAAGCTTCGGAGCGATATTTTCTTCGTTCTCCGTTTGGAACGCACTTTTTTGTATCTGTCTGGCGAATTGCGAATTACACAAAAAATGCCTGCAGAGAAAGAGAACAAACGAATTTTCAGCGATTGCCGTCTCGCACTCTCAATTGGATTCACCCGCGTCTTGTCCCATTTCTCGCTATTACATGTAAGCTCCAAGTATTTTTGGAAGTGGCTAAGGTGCCGAAGAAAGTGATACTTTGAAATGTTAGAAGTGAACGTGGCTAACAACAACAATCGGAATTATAACTGCAGTTTGTTGAATATATATGAGAAACTAATAACTTGATCTTTTGACATTGAATTAAACTACCACCATATGATTACTACGGGTTTTCTCTTCTAGATTAAATGAGTGGCATGAAAGTTTACAAAAATATAATATTAGTCGACTCTCCTTTCGTGATACATTCATTAAGTATATTTTCCACGAGTTTTCAGTGAGATTCTCCGCAACTGGTTGTAACACATTAAAAATCCTATAGTTAGCAATCCTCGTGTAATGTGTCTCTCAACATTGTATCAAACGTGATATAAAAACGTGATTTTATCAAATTTGGAAAAGTAGAAATGTGCGCTGTGTTGATCCAATGACAGAACCCACAATACTTATCTTTCAAACACATTGATGATTTGTTATAAATAAAGCTACAGATAGTTTCATAAAACCTTTTGCTCAATCTCAACATTTGAGATTGGTAATTAGTTCTGAGGAACTGAAGATCGCAATAGTTACAATCACTAGTGTATTTGACAACAGATGCAAGGGAAATAATCTTATTCTAAATGTTGACAAAACGCAAGTCTATGATGATGGTGAATATGATACGAAATAATTATATTATAATTATGTATAATAAATGTATAATAAATTGATCTGTTTTCGTTCAAAATATTAAATACTAGTGATACATAGCTGAACTGTAAGTAAACAATGACCTGATTCATCTCAGCTAGTTTTAAGCCAATTTATACTGCATTTCAACGACGTATATGCGTTACAGCACACTGAATAATACTAAAACGTATCACTGATTTCATTATTGATAAAATAATATGGTGATTAATAACTGTATGCGAAGCACATCAAACTTCTTTAATGAAACTTCGACGCTAAACTCGATTTTTTCTAAAAGTTCCGTTACTCGGCAACTTAGTCACCACCTGTCCTTTCTCCGCACCTTTTGTATTCTTTGGTCTAATCTCGGAAAGATTTCAGCAGCCATCTGCCGCGCTGAAGTCTTTTGTGGAATATAAATTTGTCTCTTTGTAGCGTATTTTCGCAAAAGACCATTTCTTGTTATCTCGCAAATGAAATATGTCGTTTGAAGTCGGAATGTATAGAGTACTTAATTCGACCGAGTTGAATTAGTTGGTTCATTACGTATTATTAATGTAGAGAACGTTAGAACGTATCTACCCCGTTTGTCTGAAGAAACGAAATGTTATTTCTCTTTCACGAGATACGACATTGCCAATAATATAAATCTATTGCGTATTATTGAAATTATTTATTATTCCCGTATTCCCGATATGAAAAGCAATATTTCAAACTGAAGCCAGTTCGATATTTACGTATGTATTAGAAACATAAAGGTATTGAGTAATGGCGTAAAATGACAAACTTTTTCGAAAATAAAAAAAAGTACTTGTTGGTCCCGTGGTTGAAATATTCGAGCAAATTATTTGAAAATAAATAAAAGTAAAACCCCAAATCGAAGATTTGCTATCTAGAGCTTGAAATATGAAGTGACGGCAGATCATTACAATTTTGTTAGCAATTTTCAGTAACACAGCTAAAAAATAAAATATTTTAAGCGAAAAAAGGGCGAATAGTAACTGTCTCTTTCAAAGCGCTGAAATCTATACATATAATGCTAATGGAATAATTCCGTATTGTGTATATCTAGAAAAAACCGACCTCGGAGATTATTAGAGTCGACGATGAACCGTGATTTGGGCCGATTTATTTATGAAAACAAAAAAAAAGTTTTACCTCTTCGCTGCAATTTGTTGACGTGATCAGGCGGTTTGCAGTCAGCCGATACCAACCCCATTATTTTTCTTTTGTGGTTGCATAATTTTGTCAGATCACCAGGATTAGTGTCCGGCATCAGAATCCATGGTTTGCCAGCGACCTGAAACAAAGAAAAAAAATTTATAATTAATTAATTCACAAAAAGCACTTTCCCCATTCACCAGAAATTCAATACTCTTCTCGACGCGAAAGTATTCAAAATTCTAGTGTCATGTACTCAACTGGTCATTCTCCAAAGCGTGTTGAGCGACACTAGATTGTTCTGGTCTCCGAAATTGGATATGTTCGTTGAAACGAGTTCTAATGACTTGTTTAAAATGACCAATATATTTTTGTCATATATCCCTGACCATTCATTTTTCAATATCTTGACTCACATTTAAATACTCGATAATAACAGAACAAATCGCTCATTTGGACCTATATTTCTGATGTAATCTCGATATTCATTATCTAGCACTTCTAATGATCTTGAAATTTCAAATGTTCTCAATTTGATTTGTTACGAGCATTCACAAACATGATAAGATTTTTAGTTTAAGAACATAAAAGTTGTTCAATAATCAGAATATGATAATTTTTCGAAAGTAACAAGGAATAAGGCTGATATCAATAGGACTGACATTTATTCAAACTCTGAAACGTTAAATTTCCATGTCCAGAATAATATTCGTTCATTGAAAATTTCGAAGCATTTCAATTACTTGCTGCTTTTTATTTATTTTTTTATACATTCAGCACTTTAATGTTGAATCAGCAAATAAGACATTGAATTAGTAACTTGAGAATTAATTTTTAGTTTACGAATTTCACTAGTTCGGACTTCCATTGTCTATTATAAAATGATTTGAAATCCCTGAAACAAGTAAAAAAAGAATAATTAAAAAAGAATAGTTGAAAATAACAATTATATTAAGCAACAATAAACCTGAAATGAAATGATAGTAAAATAACCTACAAGTAAAAATATAATAATTGAATAAATAAAAATTAAAGGAATG